TTCTTGGATACCACTTACAGTAATTTTCACCCTGTTGCTAGGAAACCTGAAAACAACATAGGAAAGATGTACTATAGTCAGTTTGATATGGTATAGAATAAATGTCACGCTTATTTGATCAATATGCCTGTTCATTACTTAAGTGTGGCCTAAAACAGATTTAAAACTGTGACTTTTGAATCTCAGCCTGAAGTATATTTTTCCAACGGTTTGTGGCCACAGTTCCCATTTCCATTAGCTGCTTTTGCTAAAAAGCATGGTGAGTTGATAGGTCAGGTTTGCAGCCTTTTTTCCATGCCTACAAAAGTTTCCGTCCCCCCAAGTCAGATCAGCAGATCAGCTTGTCAGGAGGTACCATCTGACTGGATGTCAAACCAAGCCTCCTTCAGGGCTACCAATTAGATCCCATCACATCCTCTTTAACTCCCTGTAACTTGCTTGTGCTTGCATACCCAAGGAAAGGCTCCAAGGGGGTTTTGTATCAGGTACAGATTAATTCCTGCACAACTCTGGGTCAGCAACCTGCTTGTCAGCAGACTGGGGGAGATATATATCTGGCTCTTTTTCCTTATTCCCCCCCAAACAGCTTCTCCTTCCCCTCTGTTGCTCTCATGACTTTTCACATTTTTTGTTTTGTTTTTTAAGCCCCATTTCCTGGGCTCACATTAGTAGGCAAGAAGCTCAGCTGTCATTTCAAAAGCCTCATGTCTATGAAAACTGCTTGAAAAATTGAACTGCACAAGAAGCTCAACCCAGAAGGACTCCCCAATTTTTTTGGAAAAAAATATCATATATTTAAAGTCAATTCTATGAATCTGGGGACTGATTTACAAATGTTTGGGGTTTGTAACACCTGTGCAACATATTTATGGGGAAGCAGGATTAGTGGATTTGTGGGGAATATTCCCATTTGCCCATAATGGAGGATGGCAGAACAGGGGAACTAAGGCAGGAACAGCAATGCTGTCTATTGAGGAGTCAAGTTCATATTTACACTTAGAATGACATTGCAAGGTAATTTCCTTCCAAAAGCCCTAGTAACCTGGTGGGAGACTTGAACAACTTTTATTAAACTCTAATGCAGTATTTACTGATATTTGCTTGTGCTTCACAATCTAAATTTAAGCCACACCAATTTACTCATCTAATATGCAAAAGGAATACTTAATTTGTTTGTTTTTAATTCATTTGCATTTGATTAGTTTGTTCCTGTGTTTTGTATACAAGCCCAAATAACTCTCTTTGGTTTTCCTGAAGGTAGTAAGAAAAAAACTCCCAGGAAAACTACAGGATATGATTCATAAAAATCCCACGTCTTCTCTATATGCTCTAACATTCTTCTTCAAAAATGTTTTTGTTCTTTAGTAATGTTCCAGTTAGCAGTTGGCCACCACAGAGAGCTAGAGGCTTTGAAAGGGGGAGCTAAAATTAGAAAATGAGGAGCAGTCAGCATCTAAAGACACAAGAAAGCTATACTCCTTGTTCAGTGCAATGCATTGGAGAAGAAAATTAGTCTCTCGGACCGGTGAGTTATACGATAAGGCTTTAGGAGTTCAAGTCAGCTGATTCCTAAATCAGCTGCAAACTAACTGCATGGTATTGGACAAGTGACTTAATTCATTGAGTTTTCCGTCTGTAACAATAGAAGCAAAATTGTCTCCCATATGGTTATTGTGAAGATACAATCTACTTTATGATTCAGTTTTGCCGAATGAGAAGGCTCTATTTGACTTCTGATATGCTTGTTCTGCTGTGCAAAGGCAAAGCACAGGGACTCTGAACCTCAGCAACTCCTCCTGCTGCTAAGCACCCGGCGAGAGCTGGAGCACACTGACACACAGTGATAAATCTGCCTCTAAAGAGCAATAGGAAAAAAGGGGCATAAAGTGTGTGTGTGTATGTGTGTGTGTGCATGTGTGTGTGTATGCTAAGGGGTATGGAGGAGGAGCATGGGTCCTGGATTTCCATCCCAAGGGCCAAATTCCACCTTGCTTTACACCTTGGCAATTTCACTGAATGAACAACATCACCATCAACAGTATCAAAGAGGTAAGCGTTAATAACGGTGTTTCAATCTTCCTATTCCTGAAATGTTGTGAAAGGGGAAGAGGGTTTGCTTATCCCACTTACTTTTATGTCCATTCCTACTGCCAACTGGGCTTGTGAGATGTGAGTTTTTTCACCTTGCCCTGTCTAGAAGCTTGCTAGATGCGCACAGGGTTAGACACTGTGCAACTTCGCCATGCTTGTCATAACTGGATTCCCTTAAACAAAGATTAAAACTGTTCTAAGGACAAAGGAAGATATTTTTCACTAATTAAAACACATTTTCAAAATGCATTGTTATTGTTTTTACACCATGCTAGCACTTAGAAACCTCAGTCATTAACTGCTCCACAGATAGAAAACTAAGACAGTTCCTGCCTCAAAGCATTTAAAAGGACCTAAAATGTAGACCAATGTCATATATTGTCAGATAATTTAAGACATTCCCAATATAAAACAAGCTGGTATTTTAAGAAATATATATACATGTATTGAAGAGCTGCCTGAGCATAATAGACCCTCAGGTTATTTTGATGAAGGCACATCAATGGTGGCAGCTATCAACATGAGTCCAAAGTAAGCGTCAAACTTACATCTCTGGTGACATAGCAAGGTACCTTATCCACTTTGCCACCACCAAGTTGCTATATTTAGTGCTGCCGTTGCTGCTCATCATAATTTCTTGCAAATTTTTCAGTGACATGAGAAGAGGTAATCCATGAACCAAGAGGTGCATCTGCACATGCACTTTACTGAAGAGTAGACTAATTAGCTCTGCAGTAAAGCATAATAGTCTACATGTGCACTGGTATAAGATGCAGTAAACTAATTATTTTCACTGTAGGATAGTACTCTTGGGGGCAATACTATCTATGGTGAAGTACTTCATTGCACCAAGATGCATATGTAGATGCTGACTGCAGGCCTACATTGCTGCCAGTGAGTCCAGCCAGCCAGAGGCCTTCTCTGCTCTGGCTCAAATTATTGCTTTCCCAGGTGCACATGTAGATGCTGCACCCAGGAGCAGTTTTGCAGTTCAGACTGTTCTGGAGTTTATTGCATTGCATTAATTTCACATGTCGATGCACCCAAGGAGTTACAATCTGTGGGCAAACAGACAAACTAATACCTTCACAAAACATTAGTGCCCACACCCAGATCTTCCTCATGCTGTAACCTTATTCTCCTCTGTTTAATTAGGTTTAGACAAAATATGGCCCATTTTTATAGTAAAGCTATTTCTAAGGGAAAGCTGCCACAAGAATCCCATGGCAGACAAGGTTCTTTGAGTAGATGTGATATCTTTTATTAGACCAACTGAGTAGTTGGAAAAAAGTTCTTAGCAAGCTTTTGGGAGCAATCACCCTTCAGGCATAGGGAGTCTCTCCTGTTCCCAATAATCCCATGTCCTTTATTCCTCAAACCTCCTCGTGGCCTGTAGGAATGACAGAATCACTCATGCTGCCAAGGCCACATTGACAGTGAAGGAAATATGTTTCTCCTTCTCTTAAAAAAACAAGGTGATCAGTTTAATATTTGCAAAGCATTCAAAAATCTGGTTTCTTCTCACTCCAGCTGAAAAGGTCAGTATGGCCAAGTTATTCCCTCACACAAGAACCAAGGAGCTAATCACCTCTTTCCCCCCATTTCAAAGCTGTCAGTGGTTTGCCACTGCTGGGAAAAAAAAGTCTTCATCAGGATGTCTCCAAGAAGAAGGGTAGGATATGAGAATAGAAACATGAAGGAGCACATTCCCACCAATCCACAGGAGATCCCAGAGGTGTCTTTATCCCACAAGCCTGCCCAGGCTTGCCTCACTTTGCAACTACGGGGACATTTCAGTGACAGGTTGACTTTAAAGCAGAACTGGTATCTGCCAGAAGCCTCTCAGAAATGTGGAATGCCAGCAGTAGTCTCAGAGGAGATGGTTTAATGCACAAAGTGCAGGTAAAAGTGCTAAAAGCACATGATGAATGCAATTTATCACACAACTCTGTTGGTACTTTATCACAGCAGTATCAACAGACAAACCAGATGCAGGTAGATAGATTGGGTAGATCAGCCATTGAAGGCATAGTACATATTTTAATATATGCCTTTTAAATCACAGTGCTACAAGTCTAAATGTTTGTGAACAGTTAGATATTTAATGAGGCAAACTCGTCATGCTTTTTTTCCACCTCAACATGGTAATTAAAAAATAAAAAGTCATTTAGGCTTGAGGAACTGGTTGAAGCTAAAAGCATAGAGAAAGATCTCTTTTCTTCAAAGCTGACCCTTGAAATTGCCCTGTGTTTGTGCAGGCACACTGACATTTTCATGTGCAAACTGGGTGATGATTATGAAGCCTACTAGCCATTTCAAATTTGTGAGCTCTAACAGGCTGCAAATTCAGGGGATGCTTTTCGAGTTGCAATTAAAATGTATTCCGAGTAAGATTATTCCAATGTGTTCTGTATCCAGATGCGGTTGTACAGTAATGACCTCAGATACTGTGGTAGCACTTTAGCACACTGTTTGAAGCTGTACTAATATACTGTGTATTTCTCCCAAAAGAAACTAGGTACAGAAGTGGTTTCAAGCCAGTGCATGTGCTAGTGCATAGTTTTGGGGGGGTGATGATTGGGGCCGTGATATGGTCTGAACACTTCAGAACAACGGGCTAAATTAAGCACAGAATATGAGGCTAGTGTTTCAAACTCACCTCTTAGTTTCTTGGCCTTCAGTGGGTTTTGGTCTATCATATAACATTACTTTTATGTTAACATTTGTGGTTCATTATTTTTATGCACTCAAGCTTCATGATACTCCACCCTTTATGGTTTAATAGCCAGATTCCTATGATTCAACCAGGGTGGCAAGTTCAGATGCTGAACTTGTATTTAAGCCAGATTTTTAATATAAAAAATGGAGCAGAGTATCACAGATGCTTATTTCAAATAGCTTTTATTCATACTAGGACAAGACTATAGCCAAATAATTATACAAAACACAAGACAAAGGGAATTTTTACAACTTGATTGAAGACTACTTCACGCTAGTCCAGTGCCTATATATGTATATCCAACAAATTTCTGGAACACAGTATTACTTAAAATTACTCATTGGATACTTTCAGATACAAAAATGTATCGGGAATAATAACAACAATTCACGTTCCTCTTAGCAATATTAATATTGACCTTTTATTGTAGAATGTTGCCCTTTTGGGTTGATCCCACTGACACCATACTCTTTAGAAACAGGTTTGGCATTGTATGTTTTTCTCAGCAGCTCTAGCTTAATGAAGCTGGAAAGACAAACTATAGATAAACTTTTTAGTGCACAGGGAACAACAGACTGTTTTCATTATAGAAACAGGTAGCAAACATCAATTTGAAATAAAAATAGACATTTCAACTCTGCATCCCTATAGAAAGAGGCATTGGTGAGACCCATAGCATCAAGTTTGCTCTAAAATTTTGAAGCATGATTGTACTAGGTGTTGCTTTTTGCTTTTCTATTGCATTATTTATTTTAACAGGTAGTTTAAAATTACTATAAATAGAGTAGCAAAGAGGGTTGGATGAAAAGAGTTTCCTCAGTCAGTCAGTCAGTCAGTCACACCTTATGATTACAGGATTTTATCAAAAGCCCATTAAAAGATTCTGATATGTGTCAGTGTGCTTTTGCCCATATTTCTACTGAAGGCAGAAATGGCATTTCATATTAGAAATGCGTCCAGACTGCTGAATTCAGATCTGAATCTGGAACTAATTTTTTCAAAGTTCAAGCATGTTTGATCCCAAAGTAGCTTGATCTCTGCTTTACAGATCTCATCTAACAGACACTGAAGGGTAGTTACCAATGGATTTTGAATCAGATATCATACAAGTCTGCTATTGCAGAGGTGCCCATAGCCACTGGATATTCAGAAATACCACTAGGAGTACTTTAAATTAGGGAAAAGTATTTGGAGATTTTAGTAAGGAATCACTTCTCACAGCCTTGGAGGAAAAGCCTGTTCTGGCTTTTAGGCAGCCCCCATCTCAAACAACATCTCTCCAGCAACTCTCCAGACTACCTAACTCCTGTTCCCACCAAGCCACTAAGTCTTGCAGCAGATCCAGCCAGCTTTATCAATGCAGACCACAATATCATTAGAACAAACCACTTGGACTATAACATCATTCACTAACTCTTCTTTCCATATCATGCCATCACCAGTTTACAGTGCCCCTCTTCTGGACAGACAGGGCAATCCCTATGTGACTGAATGGATACTGGTTTGACATCAGTTCCACAAAGATATTAAAGCCTGTGGCAGAGCACCTGAATCTTGCGAGATATTCCCTACCTGGCCACTGAGTAACTTTCCTTAAACACCAAAACTATAAAAATCAACTCAAATGGGAAATTCTTGAAAGAGAAATCATCCACAGACTGGATTGTTTTAAGTATGGGCTCAACAGAGCATCTAGATTCTTATCCCATTACCTGGACTAACTTTCATAACCCCCATGTCCTTCAATGGGTTAACTGCTTTATTAAGCCCTTTTGTTCTCTTCGACCCACCTTTCCCTCTCTCAGCAGTGCCCCTTTCCCTACCTTTGGTATTGTATTTATTCCTTTCTCTGTAGTACCCCTGCTCTCTGCAAGTTGCTTTCATAGTGTCTGACAAGTAGTCTTTAGCCTATGAAAGCTCATGCTTCTCTAAACAAGTTAGTCTATAAGATGTCACCCTACCCTGCCTTCTGCCTCACTGAATATAGTGTCAGTCCTCTTGGATTTATGGTTAATGGGTCTCTGGACCCTACATACACAACGTGTACTTCCAGTACTATACCTCTTGACCCACAGTTTAATGATTAAAATCCAAAAATGAAACCTGAGCACCTTCAAATGCAGAACAATCTATATGTCACTATAAATTGTCCCAGAATGCTGAGCTACAGAACACATCACTATAAGGAGGGACTGCGTAGTATGTACAACGTATGCCATACTTACTGGAAAGCTCTTTTTGTATTTAGCTCTTTTCTTGTGGTATATAACTTATTGGAGCCTAAAGCTGGTAGCAAGCTGCCATGGAACAAAATTCCTTTTTGGATCAAATGAAAATATTATATTGCTAGGACCAAAATGGGTAATTTTTGAGGTTACAGAGGAATGTCAGTTTCAAAGTCACAATTTCTTTTTTTTTGACAATCAGCAGACAGTCAGCTAAATCTTACTAATAAAATACTGATTCCAGTTTGGATCTGATACAAACTAAGCATTTAATTGCTGCTAGAAGTGACAGAGATAGGCCATTTTCATTCCCACACAAAGTACAGAGACATCTACCAGAACGGGCAGCTTTTTTTAAAAACTAAAATTATAGTTAAAATGCAAAACAAAATGAATAAAATGAAAAACTAGGAGCTCAAGCAATAATTAGATAGCAACTCACTTCCAAGTTTTGGATAAAAAGCAGGTAGCACAGGGTCTATTTAAGATAAATTCTTTCCCAGCAGGTTTTCCTTATATACCCATTCACTTAGACTTCCATATGGCGTCTGTAAAAAACAAACAACCCCCCCCCCCAAAAAAAACTTAGTGGTTCACAAGGCTCTATGGGTGACCTTTTAAAATAAAACAACTGTGTACTATTACAGATTTTTTGGAAAGGCCACTATAGCAAAAGCTTCCTTGTCCCCTACAACGCTCATGTTAGAAAGTATCTCCCCGAAAGGCTTTTGTATCTTGGATAAGATGTATGACTACACCAGTTACATTTTAAGGTGCATTGTATCTAGTTATACCTATACACGATAGAAATTTGGGGCAGGGGGGAGGGAGGGGGAGATGGTGAAGAGGAATTTTCTAAGGGGTAAAATGACAGTTATTGTCTAGGTGCCACTGGAAGTCAAAATGAAGTTAAATATCTTATTACCCTTATTGCCTCCTCCCCTTGGTTCCCTATTCCAGACAGATTGCCCTGAGAGAGTCTTTCTGTCTGTCTACACAAACGAGTTAGCCTCCACATTCTTGGTCTCTACACTACCTCCGGCATTGGCTGCAGCAAAACCATTCTAATATTTCATCTCCAGCTTCTGAAAGAGCCTGAACTCAGACAAGATATTATATAAAATATAAGATACTCTAGCCAGAGAGTAATTTTGCTACCTTGTTCAGCTAGCTGTTTTGCTGATTTTTTTTTTTTGCAATATAAAGAAAAAGTCATCTTTGCTTACATAAGTGTTGTATATATATTCTCTATTTATTTTGTTAGCTTTCTGGGAGACAGGTTAGTGGATTTTTGGGATTCCTTGGCCTGGAGTTAGTTATTTCACTTTCACTGGAAGGAAAATTAGGGAGGTACATAATTCAGCAAAGGACTAATCCTGAAATCCTTACACTGGTAGAATTCCCATTAATTTTGATGACTTTCATAGAAATATTGCATGAGGAAGAATCAGAGAAGCATACCCCTAATAACAACACTTTATAGTATACTATAACAAATTAGTACACATGAAGTGCCTACATGCGTAGTCTGAAAATGAGCCACAGAATATCCTGGGCTACAAGGAGCTGTGAAAGGTCACCATTCACCAATGGTTCTACACCACTCCAGACGGAAGCATTTAATGGAGAAAGACAAGCTTATGTGCATGCTCCCTGATAGTCTCTCTATATGTTTTTCAAAGCTGGAATTTCTAATCTGTATTTTCTACCAACCCTCCCATCTGAAGCAAGAATTTGCTGCCAACAGGAATGGCTGGCTGGGGATGAGCTGAGGAACCTGTGATTCTACCCCAAACCTGCTTATTATGTTTATGTTCATGTTCCATTGTGTAGCTATTTAATCCCAGTTCTTCAAAATCAGCCTAATTTAAGTGTCTTAATTTTTTAATGGACAAATTGAGATACCTGAACCAGATTTGGAGAGGTTCAGATCACATCTAAGTCCAGCTGAAGTCCAAAGGAAGAATCAGCTGTTCCTCTGAAATAAGTTCCTACATGTCTGAACTTGGATATTAAGAAATTGTCTTAGCTGTAGTCAAACATTTATAAGGATATGTACGGGTTATTGACCACCAGATAAATCAGTGCTGCAATGGGAGAGATTCTAAGAGCAATCAGGGAGCTATTGTTGGAAATTAAAAAAAAAAATTGAGAAGAAAGCAGTAGCAACTGAACCTGCCCTCTCAAAAAATCCCTGGTTAAGAGGAAGTCCTGATATTCTCCCTATCACCCTTAGTCACTTCCTAAAGAGTCCTGTTGCATCTTTTAATGATATAGTAAAAAAATAATGGTACTCTGAACTTAAAATATAGGGCCCTATTCATTGACTCAATGAGAATTTTGCTCTTGACTTCAGAGGCAACAAGAGCAGGCACACAATCTCACGTGCAATTTCTCTGCCCGTTTGTTTATCTAAATGACTCTAACTATATCCAACTGTTTACAGTCTCCTACAGGGATGTGTATCTGTGCAAATGCATGAAAGCGACTGACTTTATAATGTGAGTTATTCCAAATTCTCTTGGAGTAACCAAATCCAGTAACAGAAGACTGACTTAGATGATGCATGAGCATTACCCCCCCTTAAATACAGAATTAAATTAGTAAAATTCAATCAGTTTTCAAATTTCAACTCATACTCATTTTTATATAGGTTAGAAAAAGACACACTGATTTTGCATTAGTGAGATCATTTTTAAGCTCCCTGACTGTGTATCTAATTAAAATATTATAATACATTATTTCATACAATGAAAAACTTTTAAAATTACCCAACTGACAGCTGAAGACCTTGGTTTCCTAGAAGCAATATTTCTTTGATTATGGCCAGAAAACTGCAGTAAGTGACAAGTAAAAATGCCATTGTGAGGTCCTGAGAAAGTACAGAATCAAAAATTATTTGCCTTCTTTATGCAAGTAGCCCCCTTGAAGTCAGTGGACCACATTAGCTTTGGCATAATTCCACTGTGGGGAGCTACACCAGGAATGAATTTAGCCCGTTAGAACTATTTGCATTAGCTGAGCAGACATGATTTGCTTCATAAAATGTGGGTAGAATTTTATTTTATTTTTTAAACAGACAGTCTATCTCCATTTAATAGAATCCTTTCAAAATAAAAGCCTACTTCATGGTATGGGAAATTACATTCCTTTTCAGATTTCCTATTTCAAAGACTGCCTCAAAGTTCTAAGCTGTACTAGGGAGTTTCTGTGTAAGTCATAAAAGTCTTTAAAATTAAAATGGTAATCATAAACAAACCCAAATGCATGAAAAATCTAGTCTGACTGCATAACAAAAGAGAATTATATAATTCTATTTGAGTGAAATCTTTCATCTTTGATTTACAGGTTTGAGTCCCCTTATAACTAAAACCATATTGTTCCATATCTTTCATATCATGGCCTTCCCCAAAATCTTGTTTTAATTAAGGTTTCTTTCAGATTTCTGAATAAAAAGCATGACAGTCTTCACTTATGGCTTTAATATATCCCTTTAAGTTTGGAAAATATATAAAAAAAATGAACATCCTTGCTTTCAAAAGCTAGGCCAGCTATCAAATACTGTACTGCACTTTAATGTAGGTAACACACCTCCCAGGGTTCATTACATGGGAAAACTGTAAACAAAACCCAACCAACCAACCAAAAAAATCCTGGCTATATCACAATTTGAGTTCATTTAAAGTACTCTAAATAAATGTCTTTCTCCCTATTCCTTTCTCTGACAGTAAGGCAACATGTGTAATAGTTTAAGCATTCATTATCAGCTAAAGGCACAACTCCACCTTACATTTGGAACTATTACTTTAAATAGCTATAATGTCATTTTTCAAGAAAACCTTGTTACATTTGAAGGATCTAAAATAGAAATTGAACCCTTTGGAACATTTTCAGCAAACCAAATCCTGTGGGTCTGTACAACAAAAAAGAAATTTGCATTCATATGATGACCTATAAAATATACTCCCAACATACTACCGTACCACTGCAGAAACACCTGAGCTTCAAATGAGCTGCACACAGATACTTGAGTGTTCTCTTCTTCAAGTCAGAACGCAGAAACATTTCAGAACAAACTAAAAACACATTTGAAAAGTCATCCATTTTTTCAGAGTCTTTGCTGCACATATGCTGAGAGCTACTGTCAACTACACAGAGTGCAGCAGTTTTTAAAAAGGCAGACAATTGCTCACTTCAGAGGATCTTGACTGTGTTGCTGTTGATACAAAATAATACATTAAACAGGGGTATCTTTCTACAAAAAAAAAGGATAAAATAAAGCACCACTAAGCTCAGTACTTTGGAGGTTTTAAAGTACAGGAAGTAAAGTACAATTTTCTTTGTAATGAAAATTCTCTCATCTTAAACATCTTTAATTGCTCCAAGCAAGGATTTAGTATAGCTTTTTTTTTTTTAATGGCACGGCATATGAACTATAGCCATAAATGCATTTTACTGATCCTTGAAAACAAATTATATTAACAATTTAACATATTGAGAAAAAAAAGTACCCCCATAAAGGTGTTTCAGAAAGAATGATGCATGGAGATTGCCCAAAATTTTGCTGGCTGTTGCAATTCTTGTGGCTATCAATAATCTGGCATGTAGAATATTGTAACATTTTCTATTCCACAATTTATGTCAGTGAGCGGGTCACATAGCATATTAAAAGCATGCTCTAGGCTCCTTCTCCCAAGCCTGGTTTACTGTAACTTTAGAATTGTAGTGGTTACATTTAAGGAATCTTTGGGGCTCTTTTAAGTCCATCCAAAGAACAAGTGAAGCTGCTGTTCGGAGTTTTGTGCCCGGTGTTTACGTTCCATCTGATCTGTGCCACCCAAGCAGCAGACAAGACATGTCTGAGGGTGCTTTGGGGGGATACACAATGATGTCACACACAGGAAATATCAGGGAGGACTTGGCACTTCACAAGGCTGGCTCTTCTTCCATGGGATCGCCAGCAGCTCTGTAAAAATAAACAGGCAATCAGAATACGGCACAAGAGTACACAATGACATTGTAGATTTTCATGCATAATCAAAGCTGATTTTTCAACTCTCTCTGATGTTTATTTGTGTTATTCAGTTATCCATAAATAGAGTTTCTTTCCTAGGAAGTATAAACAAATGTCAAGTGGAAAAACATTTAAATCCAAGCAATCACTGCAAATGTTCCTGTTTATATTAAAATATGTCTGAATATTGTATAACTTTAGGTTCAGAAATGTACACGTTTTGTGTCAGCAGACTCAAATAATTTAATGAAAAATTTAGCTGTGATACTTTTATTTTACAAGCATCTGCAACTTTATATATATCTTTTCAATCAGGACCATACTATTCAAACCAAATAGCTGGTACTTAGCTAAATTTCTTCTAAGACTGCCATACCAGTCCACTGATTTTTGTTTCCGTGCTCTCATAACTACATTGGCTGCCTGCCTGCCTGCCTGCCTGCCTGCAATGTCTGAGCACTAATTCTGAATTTGATTAGCAGATCACTGCCATAAAGAAGGTATCCATTAATAATGCATAATCAGATTATACAGAGATCCTTTATTAGAAATCATCTGGGAGATATTCAGCTTAGGCAACTGGACTGTTAAAGATGTACGGTGAGAAAATAAAATGGAACAGACAGACACTTGATGTAAGCTGCCATAGCTCAAAAACAACTGACAGTACATAACGGTCAAGCATCTGCCCATGTATCAGTCAGCCTCTAATAAGTATAGATAGGGCTTCTCAAAGGGTGTCCCATTTCTCCTAAGAGAAGCCTTTTGTCCTGGGATCCTACCAATCCTACAAGCCTATTTTTCTACTTTTAGGTACCCGTGAAGCACCCAAGATAGAATGCATCAACAATGCTGTGTACTGTTTAAACCAACTGCAACTCATTCAAGTTAATTGCCATTCATGCCAAGGACAAACTTATTCCAGCAGCAATGCAGCTTGGAAGGTCTATGCATGTAAAGGCCATGCCACTCATCTTTTGTCCACAGTTTTGACTCAGATCAATCAGGACTACCTCAAAGGAGACATCTGTTTATAACCCAAGATTACACAGAATAACACATTGTAAAAAGGTTTAAGAATTTGGAAATAACCATTTTCCCCCTAAGATATTATTTGAAAGACAAAACCAAGTTTGTACCCTCATTTTTTAAAATCATTTCCAGTTGTTTTGAAAATGAGAAGGCAAAACGAAAGCAAAAAAAAAAAAAAAAAAAAAAAAAAAAAAAGAAAAGAAAAAAGAAAAAAAGAAATAGACATGCACCCGTGAATCTTACTTAATGTTTGGATTCAATAAAACTTCTGCCAGGAAGCACTGACACATGCAAGCCCTAGAAAATTAATTAATAAAGGCTTGCATAGTTCTTGCATGGCTTCTTCAGCAAGGAAGCTAGAAAACTTTCAACAGAATCTGGATTTTATTTCATTTAACTCCAGTGAAAACGCAGCAGTGCATCTTTAAAGAATTGTATGTATGTTATTAGTCTATAACTTTGAGCTAGTCTCTCCATTCTACTAAAAAAAAAAGTGAGTGAGATGCTGATATTTGAAAAGATGTCTTGTAACCACTACTTTCTTTGAGTTTTATTAAACCATAAAACATGACTCCCTACCATTGCCCCACACTGAGGAGGGCTTTGTACACATCATAACCATAACTGCTGCTTATGAGAATGAAGAGGCAACAGGTTTTTTGAAAACTCTTGGAATGATGCACTGCCCATCATGTACAGTGGTGTGTACATGTGTTGGAAGGGGTGGCAGGAGCAGGGTGAGGTCAAACTGGTTGCATGAACCCCCAGGCAGATGGAAAGATCTTTGCCAGGCACAGAATGGGGGCACAGTTGAAATGAAGTAGAGGCTACTAAAACTTATCGGAAAATGAAAACAAATGTTTATGAAAATGTTCTTTTTTTAAAAAAAACTTTTCACTTGCGTTTCTAAAAGTTTCAGATCCTTTGCAACCTGGAAAAGAAAAGAGTCTGGTCACTTGCTGAAGGCAACAGCACCATGGCTCATTACTCACTGTGGCACACTGATTCCCAATGGCAGAACATAAATGTACAGCTTACTCCATGGGAAACATGCATTCATCACAAGAACTTAAAAAGAGTTGCGATTATATAGAGAGCACATAAACTAGGGCAGAGAGAAAATATATCAAACTTGCAATGTATAGAAACAAATGACCTTATGATGGTAGCTTTGGGTGTGACAGCAGACTACTGATATACAGTACAAGCTTTTCATAGCACAGGCCCCCAGGAATGCAGTTATGTTGCCGCATACATGGCATTAACAGGAGAACGTAGTAGCTTCCACCTGTTTAGTACCTGCAGCCATTAATGAAGGAAGCACTGAACAGAAGCTTTGCATAAGACCTATCACAGGACTCTTATTTGTCTAACCTGCACTCTGCCTACTAATCTATATCTCCAGAGGATGTTTCTAAATATTTTCATCTTCAATGGCTGCCATTTTTTAGGATAAGCCACCTACCAAATAAATGTGCCCATCTTTCCCTCAAACATAAATTTATACCCCAAACAGATCTGGATGGATATTATAAGAATCTGTACCAATGACAGGTCACAGATCCATTACCTTTTCACTCTTTAGACATTGTAAAGGAGAAATTACTCTCTTTTTTATGTTCATATACAGTACTGGAAGATCACACAGTAACAGTCATGCTATTTTTGTGTATAGGAAAGTTATTAGAGAAATGAGTTTTTAGAGGTTCCTAATAGTGTACTGCAGGGGTTTTCAACCAGGGGTACTTGGGATGGCCTCACGGGGTACTTGGCAGTGGGCGCCACCACACCACTGGCACTTCCACCGCCACTGTCGCCAATCCTTGGGGGACCTCCTTCCTCCCATTCATTGACTGGCTGCTGCCCCCCATCTCCACTCATCAACTGGCTTCTGGGGGACTTCTTCCTTCTTGACCAGCTCCTGGGGGTACACTGACCCAAAAATGTTGAAAACCTCTGTTCTACTGATTTTTATGAACCAAATCTTTTTTCTTTTATATGTAAGAAGACCACTGACTTCAGTATATTTGCAAGGAACCAGCAGAGAGAACACAAATACATACACATTTAATACAACTTCATATGTGAAAGAGATGTCCATGAAAAAATTGAAAATACATGTGTTTCATAAGGATACTATCCTGCATCTTTGATCACTTCATCTGCTGTCTCTGCTCACTAATCTATCTTTCCTTTGACTTATTCTCACATCATTATATCATAAAACAGAACATAGAAATTACTATACTGGCTCAGACTTGAAATTCAATTCAACCTCCAGCCATGATTAGTACTAGATACTTCAGAAGAAGGTGAAAAAGCCTATAGAAGACAAATGTGGGATATCTCTCTCCCACAAAAAGGCCCATCCTCACCTCTAATAGAAATTGGCTGAACTCACAAAGAATAAGTTTTAATATCCTTTTCAAATGTTTGTGTTCTCATTAATGATAACTTTGGATATTCTTGATATCTATATAAATATCTAGCTCCTTTCAGAATTGTGTGAAGGTCTTGACCTCAATAACTTCCTGTCCATAATTTAAGTATGTGTTATGTAAAAAAGTACTTCCTTTTGAATTCCCCACCTTTTAATTTATTGAATGTTCCATTGTTCTTTCATTATGACATGGAGAACTAGTGATCCTGATTTACTTTCTCTAGACTAGTGGTTCTCAACCCTTTTAGACTCAAGGGACCCCTTGAAAAATGCCAGCTCTTAGCTCTCTCTCTTTTTTATTTGACTACAGAAAAATAATAGATCATTTCTCCTGTTCTAAAGAACTCAGAAAGATCACAACAGGTCAGCATGTTTCTGACACAATGGAATCCAATTTGTAATTTCTGGGTTCATCTTATGAGTCATATGTAGGTATTTGCACACTTAAGACAGCTAATGTTGTGTAGCACCCTTAAAAAGATCTTGTGGAACACTAGTCACTGCTCACTTCATTATTTCACATTTTTATCATGTCCCTTCTTACTTATCTCCCTACCAAAATTTACCGTTCAGTCTTTTCATTTGAGTTTTCCATCTCCTAATCAGTTTAGTTGCTCTTAGCTGAAGCTACCTCTCATTCTCCAATACCATTTTTTGAAACAGTGACCAATAGCACCATTAATAAAGGCATATTCTTTCTATTCCTTGTACTTCCTATGATCTTACTAGCTTGCCAGCCGAACAGAAGTATTAATTTATTCACAGTGACTATATTTCTTTCTTGAGCTGATTCATCTAACTTAGGTGTATGAAGTGAAAGGGCAGTTTAAACTGAATGTGATACTGTGCATTTATGAACACTGGACTCCATTTGTCATTGTGCTGTCCATTCACCTTTTTTGTTTAAGTCTCTGAAATCCCTTACAGTCCTCCCTGATAGTGACTCTCCTAAAACTCTTCATCTGCAAATTTTGGTACCTCTTTACTCACTTCATATTCTAAATCACTGATAAAAATATTCAACAACGCTGGATCCATTTTCAAAGTATGAAAACCCTTGCAATTTATTTTTTACCAAGATGAAAATCAGCCATTTAATCCTACCATTTTTTTTCTATCATTCAGCCAGTTTTTAGTCCATTACAATATTTGCTTTCTCACCCTATGGCTACTAAATTTCCTTAGTAGATTCCTGTACAGGACTTTGCCAAGAGCTTAACAAGACACAATTTTCCTTTGCAGAACCTATGCTGGCTAGACACTAGATCTTCTGAGGTCTGGAGGGAACGTCTCCAGACCTCAGGTTGGGGAGGACCGGGTTAGAGAGCTTCTGGA